TTTACTGAGAACCGGTCATGTTTTGGGTTGAATAGAGAAAACAATACCTTTAAAAAATCCATTAATGTATAATTATTGTACAATTTGTATAGGCTACATTGAAGTTTTTCTTTCATTATTTTAGGATATCTGGTATTAGTGCATAAGCCTAAACTTTAGGGCTTAACTGTACATGAGGCAAATTGCCTACACAGCCATCGCCAAATAATGCTTTTGGGAACTGCCAGAAAAAGTTAACATCAGTATACAGAGGCAAAAAGAACATTGTCAAAGTTTAATTAATTAAGGCAGAAGCTGCGAAAGGAGTTGAAAATAAAGAGAATGGAGGGCCAGAAAAGCAACGTTTGGAAAATATTTGGTGAAGTGGTAAAAGAGGATGATAGCAGTGCCGGTTATTTTATGTGTGATGATTGTGAGGCGCTAAACAAATTCGAAAGTCACAAGACTGGACTTCAAATAGCCTTATGGCACGTCAAGGAAACGGTAGCCTACAGTTTAGATGGGTTAAATGGAAACTGAAATCTGGACATTGACTAACCAGAATAACCTACAAATTGACATCCCTGTGTTTTGAGAGAAATGTCTTGAGTTTTACAGGTGTTGCTCGCAGTTTAAACAAGAAAACAATAACTGATTGAAGTTCTGCGCATGGCCTATATATGAAGGGCCTACATGTATCAACTTTCACAGTGAATGCTTTTGTTTATACGTTTTGTGCGAATGAATTGAACATCGCCAAATGCATCATAAAAAAATATTGCGTCTATTTAATGCAACCCATGCTGTTAATAGATCGCAAAGCACCATACAACTGAGCTAAACGTTTGGAACAAGTTCACTTTCTCATCCATAGCCTAAAAACGCATATCAAGTGCAAGTTAGCTGTTTAGCTCACATCTGAAGGCTGGGGGGCATTTAGGACGTCTTCTACTGCGGATAGCTGAAATATCCTATTGATTATGATCACACTTCCTCAATTCAAATATTATGGCGACACTATACCATCGAGTTATCAGTGTAGCCTGTTATCGCCTGGATTTTTTTGAAATATCACATCTAGAATAAACCCTGCAGGCTTCCGTCATAACTGTCAATAAAAAATTAAAGAGAAAGAATTACAGGGCGCAGTTTGGTTAAAACGCATCCCGTCTGAATCGTCCTTTAGAATAACGGATATTCTGGGGTAATAAATACATAACCAACGTTCTCTAGTAATACTAGTCCCGTGCGAATAGGGCTATAGGCTAAATAATAACTCCTGCAGAATTAAGCATTTCTTGCAGTAAAATTATACACCAAATGTAGGCAAAATTTGGACTTGGGAACAGGAGTGGAGAAATATTATTTATTTATTTCTGTATCTTGCGAGAATGCCATGCTCAGTTAGATACGATCTGTAGAAGCGCTGTCTTCATCATAAAAACATAAAACTGATAGCATTTCAACCACATAAAATATGCATCGAAGCTGAACTGAAATCTTATCAGAAACACTTTGGGTCGTTTTCACAGCTTTCTTTTTCCTTACAACCGGTCAAACTGATGTCATCGTTCTTCAGCCTTCGACGATAGCCTATAGTACATTTTCTTTATTTCCGGGTTAGGGTTGGGTGCGGGCCTCAGATTTTCACTTTATCACCTTGCGGATGGGTTATTAGCAATTGCAAGCGGGTGCGGGTGAACAAACAGCTGAGCCGCGCACCACTACTATACATTTTTTTTTTTTTTTTTTTTTTTGTCATTTAGCAGACGCTCTTATCCAGAGCGACTTACAGGAGCAATTAGGGTTAAGTGCCTTGCTCAAGGGCACATCGACAGATTTTTCACCTAGTCGGCTCGGGGATTAGAACCAGCGACCTTTCGGTTACTGGCACAACGCTCTTACCCACTAAGCTACCTGCTGCCCTATACATGTCAGCTACTACATTGACTGAAATGACTGCAACACTTAACAAAGAGCTGCAGTTAGTTTCAGAATGGGTGACAAGGAATAAGTTAGTCCTAAATATTTCAAAAACTAAAAGCATTGTATTTGGGACAAATCATTCACTAAACCCTAAACCTCAACTAAATATTATAATGAATAATGTGGCGTCTGCTAAATGACTAAAATGTAATGTAAATGTGACTAAACTGCTTGGAGTAACCCTGGATTGTAAACTGTCATGGTCAAAACATGTTGAGACAACAGTAGCTAAGATGTCTATAATAAAGCGCTGCTCTGCCTTCTTAACAACACTATCAACAAGGCAGGTCCTACAGGCCCTAGTTTTGTCGCACCTGGACTACTGTTCAGTCGTGTGGTCAGGTGCCACAAAGAGGGACTTAGGAACATTATAATTGGCTCAGAACAGGGCAGCACGGCTGGCCCTTAAATGTACATGGAGAGCTAACATTAATAATATGCATATCAATCTCTCATGGATCAAAGTGGAGGAGAGATTGACTTCATCACTACTTGTTTTTGTAAGAAGTGTTGACAAGCTGAATGCAGGAGCTGTCTGTTTAAACTACAGCTCGGACACCCATGCATACCCCACAAGACATGCCACCAGAGGTCTCTTCACAATCCCTAAGTCCAGAACAGACTATGGGAGGCGCACAGTACTACATAGAGCCATGACTACATGGAACTCTATTCCACATCAGGTAACTAATGCAAGCAGTAGAATCACATAAAAAAAGATAAATATACACCTTATGGAACAGCGGGGAGTGTGAAGAGACACACACAGGTACAGACGCACGCATACACACTTGCACACGCACTCTACACACACGTACATTGTAATATTGTTGTATGGTGGTATTATACATTTTGTATTGTAGATATATAGTGGTGTAATAATGTTATATGATGTACTGTTTTATCTTTTGTTTTATGTGTGATGTAAGTGCCTTAATGTGTTTGGACCCCAGGAAGAGTAGCTGCTGCCTTGGCAGCAGCTAATGGGGATCCCTAATAAATACAAATACAAATGCTACACACATAACACACTTTTAGCAAATAGCACTTTTAGTTTGAAATTAGCACTTTTCATTTGAAAACTTTTAGTTTAAAATGAGCACTTTTAAGCTCCGTTTATACCTGGTTCTAACATGTATCATTTGTCCTGATCTTGTCCACATTCTGATTGTGCCCACATTTTCAGACAGGTGTAGACGATTAAAATACTTATTGTGATCTGACTGTGATCAGATCTTCCTGACCACCTCCAGAGGTACTGTAGTCAGGCACACATTCTGTCTGGATATCTTAATAGTGTAGATGGATCTGGACAGTGACACCATTTAAATCATCATAATGTTACAAAAATATTGATAAAGAATAGCTGTCAAATAATTTGCATACAGTGAGGGACCAGGAAATCTGGTCACAATGCGGACACGTGTAGACATATTTCTGAAAATGTGGGCACAATCAGAATGTGGACAAGATCAGGACAAAGGACATATGTTATCACTAGGTATAAATGAGGCTTCTGTTTGAAAGTGAGAGGGCATGGGTCAAGGTGGTGACAATGGACTTCCCTCTCAAAATCCAGTTAACTCCATCAGGGTTAGGGGTAAATTCCATTTAAATTCAGGAAGTGTTTAATTGAGGAAGGAAACTGAAAATCCAATTTTCCTCAAAGGAATTTCAGTTTACTTCCTGAATGGTCTGGATTGAAATGGAATTGACCCCAACCCTAAACTCTACAGTTCCATTGATAGGACATGTTCTCATAAAATGTCAGTGATTATCAGATCAAAGCTTATTGAAGGTCTTCCTAATCCAGTTATTTCTGGAGTTATTACAGAGTGAGATAGAGGCCACCAGGGAAGGAGAGGCTGACCAAGAGGTCACAGGGGGCGAGTGACTTCAGAGAAAGAGAAAGCAAAAGGGGCATGGAAGCCAGCTTACGAGCCACGTTATTTGGCACCGCTCACACCATGGCTAATGGCCCCCACCTGTGTCAGCAGCTAATCTGATTGCCACTTGCATGTCATGGAAGCTGCCTGGGCACAGAGTTGAGCATTGATTCAGCCATGGTTTCAGGGCACCCTGGTTTGAAGAGACAGATGTACAGAGCTCCTCCAACATCACATCACATTCTTATAATGGGGATTCTCTTTGTCAGTCTTGTTTACCAGTGATCATTACTCCATATGTTCATACCGTATTTCTGTTGTCCAAAAGCAGTTTAGGGCTCTATTACATTTACATTTACTATTCAATCAGATCTGCTTTAGCCGACATCTGCATAGTAGTTGTTTTGGCGGTGTCAGAGTTGGAACTGAGTTGAGTTGGATTATATAGCCTACCTAAAGCGGACATTGCCATTGGCTGCACGGAGTCACATTAACAGAAATCCCATGCAGCCTTGTTTACAAGTCGAACAATGGAATGTGAGTAGTAGAAATCCTCATAGAAATCCTAATTGAGCATAATTATTTCTATATAGCATACACTTTCTCGTTCTGCACTTCTAACGCGAGTGGGGAGGGTGTGGCTTCGTGACAATGAGAGCAAGAGCAGCTCCTCACCGATTTCGGTTCCAACCCAGTTCCACCTCTAACACTGCCAAAACATTTGCTATGCAGGTGTCTGCTATCGCCAGTTAACGCTTGATCTGATTGAATCTAGACCTTGAATATAGATGTTATGTAATAAACCTATATTAATGATAATAAAATTACTATAGAAACAGTGCATTTCCGAGCCTCTGATGACACTGTAGCTCACCAGCAAAGACATCGTTTTGTCCTAGAAAACAGTAAATAAATATGCTTCAATATGTCTAATTTTGTTCTCTCTCGCTCATTCTTTCTCATATGTTCCATGGAAGCAGTGATGGCTGGGAATCCAGAGGTGAACTTCCCAGCTCTGGGCTAGTGCCCTACAGAGTGCTAGGGGGCAAAATCCCTTACACACACACACACACACACACTCTTCCGTCACTTCCAACCCTCCATTCCTCATCTGTGGTGTCTGACTCTAGATAGAAACCCTGTGGGACAATGGCATCTCACAGAAACTCTAGTTTCCTCCTCAACCTCTCCCACCACCCACGATGGACACAAGATCCCCCAATGAGGGAGAGAAGGAGACAAAGAAGGACAGATGGTATAGACACAATGAACAGTGCGACCCCCGCATCATCATCTGCGGTGCTACGCTCCAGAAGCTCGTGGGGCAACTGGCTGATGTTGCCCCTGCTGATGGCCACCTATCTACCATGTGAGGCCTGGGGCGCCACTTTCAGTGTGGCCATAATTGGGCCCTGGACATGTGACCCTATGTATTCCAAAGCCCTCCCTGACCTGGCTGCACGCCTGGCCACTGCCCGCCTCAACATGGACCCCTACACTAAGAAAGGCTACTGGTACGACTATACTCTCGTCAATGAGGACTGTAAAACATCCAATGCCCTGGCCCGCTTCACCTCTCTCGAAAGCTATGGCTCGGCTTTCCTCGGCCCTACTAATCCAGGCTACTGCTCATCGGCTGCCCTGTTTGCGAAAAACTGGAATAAGCCCCTTATGTCCTGGGGCTGCCTGAAACCAAACATGGAGGATGGACAGTATCCCACCTTTCACAGGCCCTTGCCTCTGTCCTCCCGGGTTCTATTTTCTGTGCTGCGGTACTTCCGCTGGGCCCATGTGGTCATCGTGACGTCAGAGGATGACCTGTGGGAGGCTACGGGACATGAGCTGGCGGCCTCTCTGATGGCCCTGGGCCTGCCGGTTACAAATGTGGTCACCATGGAGCCGGACAAGGATGGGCCCACGAAGGCCTTGAAGAGGATACGGGAGTTAGACCGTGTCAGAGGTGTGTATGCGCATTTGTGTTTGGTTGTTTATGTGTGTGTTTGTTTGTTTATGTGTGAGCATGCATGAGTTTGTACGTGCGTGCATGCGTTTGTGTGTGTGTGAATGTGTGACTTACTGTCATCTATTCCATTATAACACACTGCCACACTGCAATGACTAATAATTGTCTATTCTATTCCCTTCTTCTGTCCCCTACTTCCAACTTTCCTCCTCCTCATCCTCCACTCCCCCTTCTCTGTCTCTGCAGTGGTCATCATGTGTATGCACTCAGCTTTGATTGGTGGTGAGGCCCAGTACCAGCTTCTAACCTCTGCCTCGAACATGCGTATGATAGACCGTGGCTATGTTTTCATCCCCTACGACACCCTCACATACTCGCTGCCCAAGGGCACAAACCTTCATGCTCTGACCAATGACAGCTTGTTGAGAAAAGCCTACGACGGAGTTCTCACCATCACCATGGATTCTGGTGAGAACACTTTCTATCAGAGCTTCAAAGATGCTCAGGAGAAATTTGAGATTCGCACCAGCATTCCACCAGATCAGGTGAGACATCCCAGAGCACAGCTCCTGGGGCATTCATCTAGTCATCATTCATCATTAGTCACACATGCCATGGACATGCAGTACTGTAGCAAGCACCTTTGGTTGCACAACAGTCCTCTTGAGTTGTAGTTCTTCAGAAACAGTTAACATATAGGTATTTGGACCTCTCAAACCTTAAAACCAATGTTGTTGGAATGTTTCAGTATTGATGATAATGACCAGTGGTTTGTCAGTGCCGTACCACTGTCTTGGCAATGGTATGTTTCTCTATTCCTGTACTCCCTGCCTACCATCATCAAAACTCTTACTGTCAGTCTAAAGAGTCTACAGACAGAGTCTTCAATAGCAGTCAGTCAGATCAATGATTGATACATCGTCACCACTCTTCTCCCCTGACGTAGGTGTCTCCATTCTTCGGCACCATCTACAACATGATATATTACATGGCCTATGCAGTGGAAAAGAGTCGCATGGTCGCTGGGCGCTGGGTGGATGGGGAGACCATGCTCCAGAGCGATGGAGGGGTTGACTTTGAGGGCTTCAACCAGCACATCTCATCCGACGAAGATGGGTTGGGGATGCTGGCTCGCTACGTGGTCCTGGACTCTGACGGGGGAGACAAACTCTACATGACACACACTCTGGAGGCCCCCCATACCCTTGGCAAATTTGGGGCGGTCAAGTACAATGGGCGCTCCATCCACTTTGCTGGCAGTAGCCCCAGCACAGACTCCCGTTGCTGGTTCAGTCCTTACATCACCTGCAGTTGGGGTAGGTGGTCTAGCTTTGGGGTCAGTGATGTACCAGTAGCCTATGGTAAAATGAGGTCTGTGTTCCCTCTAACTCTTTCTCTTTATCACTCCCTCTATCCCCCTCTCTGCCTTTAGGATTGGATGCAGGTACTATCCTCTTTCTGTTCATCCTGTTCTGTGGGTTGGTTGGAGGTGGAGCTGCCTTTTATATGAAGTAAGTTAAGCTCAAACACAGTGAGGAGTGTGTCAATCAACTGCCTATTCTGTCTTCTGCATTGAACACATGCTTTTGTTTGTAATGAGGTTACTGATGTTTTGGGGTCTTAACATTTGTGTCTGTCCAGGAGAGGTGGCCGGATTGGAACCATCTTTGGAGGATCAGAGGGAGGAGGAAGGTCCTTAAAAGTAGTCTTGAATCTGGATGACCTGATTTTCATCAATACCCAGACCAGCAAAAGGGTCAGTTTGAGGCCTACTGTATGATACCATAAAGGCCAATTTGTGTGTGTGTGAATTTGTGTCCCTTATCTTTGATGGACTGTCTATTCTGAAGCTCTTGTAACTTCTCTCTCTCTCTCTCCTCTCTCTCTCTCCTCTCTCTCTCTCCTCTCTCTCTCTCTCTCTCTCTCTCCCTCTCCTCTCTCTCTCTCTCTCTCTCTCTCTCTTCTCTCCTCTCTCCTCTCCTCATCGTAATCTCTCTCTCTCGTCCATCTCTCTCTCTCTCTCTCCTCTCTCATCCTCTCATCTCTTCTCTCTCTCCTCTCGTCTCGATCTCCACTCTCTCTCTCTCTCTCTCTCTCTCTCTCTCTCTCTCTGTAAGTAGAAGCTGAATGAGGACAGTATGATGAACAGTCAGCTGGACGTGAAGACACCTCGCCACTCAGTGTCGGGACGAAGCTACTTTGGCTCCACCCCTGACAGCTCCAATGTCGCTGTCTTTGAGGTGGGTCACATGTCAATGTGGGGAATCTACTGTAAAACTACTGTAGAACAGTGACAGCAATCCAATATTCCAATGTTTGATGCCCTGCATGTAAGAAATAGTACTAATATGTAACTGTGATGATGCACACATCCAATGTTGATACTTTTGTCTTGGTTTGTCTTGGTGACAAACAGTTCTGAACAAATGCATCTCTGTTTAGTGTCCCTGTCCCTAGCATTTTGGGTTTACCAGATAAATATTTGCTAATACCTGTATATTCTGTCTTCACTAGGGTGACTGGGTTTGGTTGAAGAGATGTCCCAATGGAAACACTGTGTCAAGTGTCAGTGATAGCACTCAAAGTATTTTCACCAAGGTGAGTGAGTGACTGTCTGAGTGAGCCAGTCAAAACAGCAAGACATTGAAGCTCTGTCTGCCCACTGCACTGTTCCTCTGTCATAACCTACCTCTCTCTCTGTCCTCACCCTCTCTCAGCTCAGGGACATGCGGAATGAGAATCTCAACCTGTTCCTTGGCCTGTTCCACGACTCAGGGATCTTTGGTATCGTGACAGAGCACTGTACCAGGGGCAGCTTGGAGGACCTTCTCAACAACGAGGACATGCGCCTCGACTGGATGTTCAAGTCCTCCCTGTTGATGGATCTGATCAGGGTAAGGAGGGAAACAACTCTCTCACGTTCATAGACATGTCTGACTATATCTCTCTCCTCGTTGTTTAGACTCTGTCTCAATATTTCCTATCCCTCCCTCCCAGGGAATGAAGTACCTTCACAACCGTGATGTCATCCATGGGCGCCTGAAGTCCCGAAACTGTGTGGTGGACGGACGCTTCGTGCTGAAGGTGACTGAGTACGGTTTCAATGAGATCATATCGACCCAGGGGGTCGACTTTGACGAGGGCAAGCCTGAGGGTAAGTCCATAGGGACACATACAATACACTCAACATATCAGAACCAGCAAATCCTCCTCCTTATCATTTACCAAGTCATTACACAAACAAAAGACACGTGTGTCTATTTTCCCCCCGGTCAGGTTATGTGATCACGAAAAACTCATGGCCTTAGTAATGTTCACTCTTATCACCATGATCCAAATGTGTGAAGGAAGGTGAAAAAAAATAACCCCCTCTTGTCCCCTCCCTCCCTGGTCCACCTTACAGATCACCTGTGGACGGCGCCAGAGCTACTGAGGGACTCCAGTTTGATGAAGAGAGGAACGTTCCGAGGGGACGTTTACAGTTTTGCCATCATCATGCAGGAGGTCATCGCCCGCTGTGCTCCCTTCTGCATGCTGGACATGCCTCCCAAGGGTGAGACCTCATATCAAACAGTACCACCATACATGGGGCTAGTTGTGTCAGATGTAAAACAAATACAGCAGGGCGGCCACCATGCCAATATGAACATTACAATTATTGGAGATCATAGGAACCACCAAAGGTTTGAAATCACTCAAAAAATGCATCAGAAGTTGACGGTGTGTGTGTGTGTGTGTGTTTGACAGAGATCATCAGTAAGTTGAAATCCCCCCCACCACTGTGTCGGCCCACTGTGTCAGTGGATGAGGCTCCACTAGAGGTGATCCAAGTCATGAAACAGGCCTGGAGCGAGGAGCCAGACAAGAGGCCCACCTTCGAGGAGATCTTCAAACAGGTACTTTACTGTACACAAACATACACAAAGCTACACGTATACAGTCAGGTACAAAATGATTGGCACCCTTGATAAAGAGCAAAAATACTGTATAAAATAAATAATACAAATACTGAACTATATTGTATGCTCAAAAACATAGGAAAATGTTATTATTTTATACTAATACAATTACTCAGAGAAAGATTTTGTTTAACAAGTAATACTTTGTTTCTCAAAAAGATAGGGGTCAAAATTATTGCCACCTCTGTTTTCAATACCTTTCCATACCTCACCTTGGAGTATAACGGCACTGAGCTTTTATCCCAAAAAGAATATGAGATTGGGAGGGATCTTGGACCATTCAGAATCTTTCCAGATCCTTGATATTCTTTGTCTGCACTTATGGACCGCCCTATTCAATTCAAACCACAGGTTTTCAGTGGGGTTCAATTCCAGAGACAGATGGCCATTGTAAAATGTAGATTTTTGTGGTCAATTAACTATTTATTTGTGGATTTTTATTTGTGGTTTGGGTTATTGTGATTGGGAGTTATTGGGAGTCCCATAGGATGGCGCACAATTGGCCCAGCGTCGTCCGGGTTTGGCCGGGGTAGGCCGTCATTGTAAATAAGAATTTGTTCTCAACCTCACTTACCTAGTTAAATAAAGGTTAAATAAAATAAAATAATAATTCAGCCTCCTGGCAGAGGCAACCAGGTTTTGGGCTAAAATGTCCTAGTAATGGGTAAAGTTCATGATGCCATTGACCCCAGGACCAGTGGAAGCAAAATAGCCCCATAACATCAAAGATCCACCACCATATTTGACATTAGGTATGGGGTTCTTTTCTGCTTATGCTTCCTTATTTCAATGCCAAACCCACTATGCACATGCACAAACCTGAACACCACAAACCTGAACACCACAAACCTGAACACCATGGTCTCAAGCTAACAAGAACTCAAAACGACATACTTTTTGTGACCAACTTTTTATTTAGTTTTGTCATTAGAAAAAAATGAGAGGGGTTACAGGTACAAAACAACTATCGAAGAAATGCATACAAAGATAACCCAAACCCACCCCCCCCCTCAGTCCCCATCCACCTGCCCACATCCTCCCTCACCATCCGGAAACCATGCCTCCTAACAAGAACTCAAAATGACATGCTTTTGTGAACCATATTACAGTAATATGTAACACACTACACCTCCTCCTCACTGCATGCTGTATGTTTCCCCTTCATCCTTTAGTTCAAGACTATAACCAAGGGAAAGAAGACCAACATCATAGACTCTATGCTGCGTATGTTGGAGCAGTACTCCACTAACCTTGAGGACCTGATCAGGGAGAGGACAGAGGAGCTGGAGGTGGAGAGGAAGAAGACTGATAACCTGCTGGCCCAGATGTTGCCCAGGTCAGTCCCCCTCCTCTCCTGTCACTTCACATTAAAAGCTGCCTATTTGCAACATCAAAAAGAAGAAAATGTCACTGTTTGAGATAATATATTTACTTGTATTACTATGCAAAGCCAAAAAAGAAAAAAGAAAAGTGTTTTATTCCATTGGCCGCTTGTCATTTATTCTCTACCTAAACTCCTGTAGCTCAGTTGGTAGAGCATGGCGCTTGCAACGCCAGGGTTGTGGGTTCGTTTCACACGGGGGGCCAGTATGAAAATGTATGCACTCACTAACTGTAAGTCGCTCTGGATAAGAGTGTCTGCTAAATGACTAAAATGTAAATGTAACCTCCATCCTTCTATCCACATCTGCATCCCTTTATCCACTCCTTTGTATTGTCTAACCCAATAGGTCTGTGTGCCTGGCCCTGAAGACGGGCAAGCCTGTGAGACCAGAGCACTTCTCTGAGGTCACTCTGTACTTCAGTGACATTGTGGGCTTCACCACCATCTCTGCACTCAGCGAGCCCATTGAGGTGGTAGATTTACTCAATGATCTCTACACACTCTTTGATGCCATCATCGGGCAGCATGATGTCTACAAGGTGAAAATCCTGTCCTGCGGCAAGAGAGTTGTGTCCTATATAAGTGATGCAATGGAAGCTTGTTATAGGTTCAATACAAATCCTGGAAGTAAATGGGTGCATTTCTTAGTGCGCATGTGTTTGTGTCACTGACTCCTTCCTTTGTGATTTTGACAAATTTCCCAATTGGGACAATAAAGATATTTTATTTATTTTATTTAACCTTTATTTTATCAGGGAGTCATACTGAGACCAAGGTCTCTTTTACAGATGAGCCCTGATTTACATAAATTACAGAAAATACACACATCAAAATATGAGTACAAAATGCAAGCAGAAAGAAAAACAAGGTAAAAAAAAACAACAACATTAATCAGTAATAAGGTCCTCAATCAGTTTTCTGAATTGGCCTAGAGGGACCAGAACATCAAATGTAAGAACATTTTAAAGATTGTTCCACAAATAAGGTGAAAGAAAACAACTAAAAGCTGATTTACCCAACTCAGTAGAGACCAAAGGACTTTTAGTAAAAGGGCTTTAGAAATGAAAAGCTAACAATGCATCAACCTACGTGACATCAAAGAGGGACAACTAACTTTCAGGTAGCGAATGCAGTGATGAGTACTAAAATTGTCGCCCGTAATAAAGCCCAGTGCGCTATGATAAACTGCATCTAATGGCTTTAATGAAGTGGCAGCTGCGTTCATATAGATGATGTCGCCACAGTCTAGGACCGATAGGAACGTCGACTGAATAATCTGCTTTCTACTATTTAGCGAGAGTCAGGACCTATTTCGATTATTATTATTATTATTATTATATTATTATTATTATTATTATTATTATTATTATATTGATATATAATATTGATTGATTGTGTGTACTTCAGGTTGAGACCATCGGAGATGCCTACATGGTAGCCTCTGGAGTTCCAAACCGGAACGGTAGACGCCACGCAGCTGAGATGTCCAATATGTCCCTGGACATCCTCCACTGTATTGGAACATTCAAGATGAGGCACATGCCTGACGTCAAGGTTAAGATTCGTATCGGCCTGCACTCTGGTGGGTGACCCATCATATTGTTATCCTCTGCCTCAGTGTTCATAATGTAGACAGATTGACAGTCCTTTTCGCTTTAAAGCCACAATTCCTCATTTGTTTTTCAGCCAAACGGTAACCCCACCACTTAGTTTGCTAAAAGGCTGGGGGATAATATAATAATAATAATACATGCCATTTCGTGCATACCTGGGGCTGAAGAAATGTTACTCTCAAATTCATAGATGGAGCTATGGATGAAATGACTGGCAGTCCATGAGGTCAACTGCTATAGATTGCAGTTCATGCATGTGCAACAAAGTCAACAGATTAATTGTAAAATTCAATACATAAGAAAACTACACTTTTGCTACATTACATTGAAAAAAATGGAGAATTAGTACATTAATTAATTACTAGTATTGGAATTCTCTGGAACATGGCGTTAACGTCAGAGCATTGGTCAAAAGTGTATTTTTACCTGATCCCATCATCCACTTAGCCCTGTAATCCTATAGTCTCTAACTGCCTTTTTGTTACTCTACCCTACCAATTAATATGGAAGGTTTTACTCATTTCTAGTAACACAGAGGTGACTACTGTTAGGTATGAAAAAGGACAGCTCAGAAATAACACAATTGACATAAAATAAAAATATATCTTCTAAAGATTGAAAGGATATTCTGCAATGAAACTGATCAAATTAACTTAATTTGCTATTTCTTTGCTCCAGAGACTTTTGTGAGACATATTGTAGGTTATTTGATTAAGTCATGAATCATAAGTCATAAATCAGGAATTATGTTGCTTCTGATCTTATCAGCATATGTATCATTTGCGTGTGTGTCTTTGTCCATCAGGCCCTGTGGTGGCAGGTGTGGTGGGTCTGACGATGCCTCGGTACTGTCTGTTCGGAGACACTGTCAACACGGCCTCTCGAATGGAGTCCACAGGGTTGTGTGAGTACATCACATTCGTTCTTTTGGCCAGAAACCACTGAAATCACGCTGTGTGAGGCCACTAAGGATAGGGACAGGTGTATGGCAGTTTGTGTGCATGCAACACTAAGGAGGTTTATTATAAGCAGTCCTGACTAATCCTTTAAGACTATCAGTGGAATTAGTGGGCAAGTTCAGGGTTTAAAGGCCCAGTGCAGTGAAAAACTAGATTTTTCCTGTGTTTTATATATACTTCCTCACCATGAAGTTGGAATAATACTGTGAAATTGTGAAAATTATGATAATTCCCTTTTAGTGTTTGAAAAGACTGCCTGAAATTTCAGCCTGTTTTGGTGGGATGGAGTTTTGGCCTGCTTGGTGACATCACAAGGCGGTAAATTGGTTAATAGACCAATGAGATTGAGCGTTCCAAACCTCTCTGCCAATAACATATAGTTTTCAGTTTTTCCCTCCCCACATGGACCACTCCCACAGTCCTAGCAAAATTCTTGCTTGAGAAAGTACTCTTTGCTAAGAAGCTATTTTTGTTTCTTTTGGACAATTTTAATTGAAAACAATCACAGTAAGGTATTTAATTGTTACCCAGAAATATTTTATAATGAGATAAAGGCGGCTGCATTGGACCTTTAATGGATATGTCCTCCAAGAACAGGCTTGCCTCAGATGCCCTATCACCACAATTCTGCTGGTACAGCAATGTAAACTTCATAATGTGTTATTTGTATGTGTTATAAATTAGTGTAACTATTATAAAAACCCTTGAGGTGATGATATGGGTAGTTAAACAACCTCCTAATCTTCTCATTTTTCAAAACAATATATGCTTATTTAACTGCTGATGCTAGCAACATATATCTAGGGTATTTCTAGAGGTGAAGGGCAACCAGTATAGTAGCTATAGTAAGTAATTACTATAGTCAGTGACAAAAGAGAACAGTAAATCTCACATCTACTCCCACCAAGTGGCCATACATATGAATTGCTGCACAAAGAGTATATGGACTCTATCAAAAATTATCTTGTGAGGATATGGGCTCACACACAATAAATTACCTTGTGTTGCTTTACACTAAATCAGTATATGATCAACCATATAAATAAAATATATGTAGGATATGTAAGTGCTGCATGAGTTCACAAATGTTGATACTCTTTAGACATAAATAACTCATGGTAATTGTTTACATTGAATTCATTCTGTGTTTGAATATTTGAAGACTAATGTTGCCTTTGTGGTTGCTGTTGTTGTTTATTATCCCAGCTTACAGAATCCATGTCAACCAAAGCACAGTCGATATCCTGCATGAACTGAAAATGGGCTACAAAGTAGACACCAGGGGCATGACAGAGCTGAAGGTAAATACAAACGCACACACACATGCACATGCATACATACACACGCACGCACACACACACACACACACACACACACACACACACACACACACACACACACACACACACACACACACACACACACACACACACACACACACACACAGAAAGAGACAGAAGACCCAAATAGTTAATTAATCTAACTCACCACTCATTCTGTTATTCCCTATTTCTCTTTCAGGGGAAGGGAGTTGAAAACACATACTGGTTGGCTGGGAGAGCTGGGTTTGACAAGGTTCTGCCCATACCGCCTGACCTTACTCCAGGGTAAGATTTAACATGCCTTCCTGCTCTATTTACATTGTACTTTATGTTTGCCCTAACTATACTGTCATTGACTCTCAGTCCTGCTGGGTCCTTCTGCCAGCCCCCTTGTCAGTAGTACTGATGCAACCCGGTTTGCGTCAAAACAGTTGATCTTCATCTAGCTAGGTCACTGTGGATATAGAGGATAAGATGTCAGAAAATAATTTAGGAAAAACTGATAATGTGCTGACCCATTTGTCAGATTGCGTGGCTGGAACTAACAGTTTTCTAAATCATAATTGCTCATTCTATTTCTATGTGCTGCTGACATGACCCTTGTGTCGTGGTTCAGTTCACATGCTGACCCAAATGTACAATTCCTCATCAACCATCTGCCTATTTAACTCATGTTTAATGAATCCATACCTCCCACTGCACTACATGATGTGTGATGAACGCTCTGCCTGGCAGGCAGCAAACATGGCTGTAATGTTTTAACACATTACCCTGGTGGTTGCCTCATTTAGCCCTGTCCACATTATATAACTGTGTTAAGAGTTCAAATTGAGACACGGTTGTCAACAGCGGTTGCTGAAAACAGTTGTCAGTGTGCACAGGGCTTTTGTTGCTTCATATGCTGGGATATTCTGAGGGCTCAGTGTGCACTGCCGATCGGATAAGACACTAAGCCTTCTTTCTTTGCCTTTCCTCAGGGCAAGTAACCATGGCATCAGTTTGGAAGAGATTCCTCCAGATAGAAAACAGAAATTCCTTGACCGGCAGGCGAGGAATAGGTAGCCTGTAAGGTACGCCTGGTTTACCTATCAAATTCTAGATTTACAATTACTTTATTTCCCCAAATGGTTTGTAATGTGAGTGATATCAATTCAGGTACATACAAATCCATTGTGCTGCATTTACGATATCCTTTGAGCGATAATATATTACTTTTTTTTCCACAGATAGTGTTGCCTAGTCCTCCACCTACCTGTTGGAGTGAAAGACCAGAGAGGTGAATAGAGCAGGTTGGTTGAGAGGAGAGGATGGGTTAGGGGTGCATCTGACAGACAATCTGTCGCATCCCCCCATGTGTCCTGTCAAGAGTGCTGATCCACATTGCACAAATAAGCCAAAGTCGGAGAGACACTGTCTGTCTTCAACACATTACATTTGTTGCACAGAGCAAAGATACGTTTAAATAAGAGTTTATTAAATGTACTGTAGAGCATATGTGGGAAACAGGAGGGATAAAGGGGTATTAAAATCATGTACAAAAATACACTACAAAAGTATGTGGACACCCCTTCAAATTAGTGGATTCGGCTATTTCAGCCACACCCGTTGCTGACAGGTGTATAAAATCGAGCACACAGCCATGCAATCTCCATAGACAAACATTGGCAGTAGAATGGCCTTACTGAAGAGCTCAGTGACTTTCAACGTGGCACCGTCATAAGATGCCACTTTTCCAACAAGTCAGTTCGTCAAATTTCTGCCCTGCTAGAGCTGCCCCGGTCAACTGTAAGTGCTGTTATTGTGAAGTGGAAACATCTAGGAGCAACAATGGCTCAGCCGCGAAGTGGTAGGCCACACAAGCTCACAGAACAGGACCGCCAAGTGCTAAAGCGCGTAGCGTGTAAAAATCGTCTGTCCTCAGTTGCAACACTCACTACCGAGTTCCAAACTGCCTCTAGAAGCAACGTAAGCACAAGAACTGTTCATCTGGAGCTTCATGAAATTGGTTTCCAAGGCCGAGCAGCCGCACACAAGCCTAAGATCACCATGCGCAATGCCAAGCTTCGGCTGGAGTGGTGTAAAGCTCGCACACCATTGGACTCTGGAGCAGTGGAAACGCCTTCTCTGGAGTGATGAATCACGCTTCACCATCTGGCAGTCCGACGGACAAATCTGGGTTTGGCGGATGCCAGGAGAACGCTACCTACCCGAATGCATAGTGCCAACTGTAAAGTTTGGTGGAGGAGGAATAATGGTCTGGGGCTGTTTTTCATCGTTCGGTCTAGGCCCCTTAGTTCCAGTGAAGGGAAATCTTAACGCTACAGCATACAATTACATTGTAGACGATTCTGTGCTTCCAACTTTGTGGCAACAGTTTGGGGAAGGCCCTTTCCTGTTTCAGCATGACAATGCCCCCGTGCACAAAGCGAGGTCCATACAGAAATGGTTTGTTGAGGTCGGTGTGGAAGAACTTGACTGGCATGTACAGAGCCCTGACCTCAACCCCATCGAACACCTTTGGGATGAATTGGAACGCTGACTGTGAGTCAGGCCTAATCGCCCAACATCAGTGCCCGACCTCACTAATGCTCTTGTGGCTGAATGGAAGCAAGTCGCCGCAGCAATATTCCAACATCAAGTGGAAAGCCTTCCCAGAAGTGTGGAGGCTGTTATAGCAGTAAAGGGGGGGCCAACTCCATATTAATGCCCATGATTTTGGAATGAGATGTTCGACGAGCAGGTGTCCACGTACTTTTAGCCATGTAGTGTATATTGATGTAGGAGTCACTGTAGAATAAAAACATCACAGGACAAACATGGGAAGAAATGGACTGCTTGAAAAAAACTTTACATGTCCATTATATCGTGTATAATATAATGTATGTATCTCTACTGTCTATTTTGCTTTGTAGAAATATTGGACAGATTTTATTTTAAACACCCCAAGGGTGAATGAAAAGTATTCATACTCAACTATATGACATGCGTATATTAAAATGTAGCATGCACTGTAGTGTATCTAACCTGCTCTATTTAAGTTTGGTACTGTCGTCTCTCACAATAATACAGTACATCGATCTTAGACGTTTTTTTCTTACAGGTTTAAGGTAGACTGTTGAAGAATATGGTCCAAGGTGTTCTCTGTTTTTTATTTTCTTATTGTCCTGCTTCAGTAATTAACGCCTTCTAATTGTTTGAATGATAATTTAGAAAATTCAACCCATTAGCAAATATTCATGATTATGTTTTTCACAAATTTGCCAGTTGGGACATTAATTGAATCATTTTCAAATAAATAAAAAATATTGCAAAATCACTGTTCCCAGAAATGAAGCTTCACTTCAACAGATTACTAGTAAACGTTGACTCATAGATATAAGAAGAGCTCAACTTTTCTCCATTGAGAACCATCTCTATGCTCTTCTCTATCTCTCTGAAATCATTCTTTATTAATGTTTACTGTATTTTCTTATTCAACCAAATTCAGGTATGTATGTATAGACAAATGTTGTTTTATGGTATTTATATATCAGTATTGTTTTATGGTATTTATGTATCAGTATATCACAATTTTCTTTTTTAATGAACTGTACATTTGTTTTAACATGAAGTGATATGCATTTTCTTACAACAATGACATGGAATGAGCAATGGGATTAATAAAAATGTCCAATGGGAAACATTTTGATCAAAAATATATAAACCCAAATTGTAAAATGATCAGGTCACAAACTCAATTCTTACAGGGTCATATCCTTCAAGCTATTTTCTGCTCCATATACTGGTTCAAATATTACAAAATGCAAGGGAATAATGATGTCTGCAGTCCTTTTTATTTTATTTCTACATATGCTACAGTACACCTTGGAGTCATAGGGGACTGCTTACAAATCCAGAGCAGAGACTGGAATAAACATTAGCTTGCACTGTACACGGCTCCTAATGGGAAGTGATGTATTCAAAGGATGAGCTACAGGTGTTTGGTCTGAAAGATATAGACTTTGTCTATCAAACCCAAATAACTATGTTTTGTTTGGTATTATGATGACTGAATTGTAAATATTGCGGTGTGGTCTCATCGTGTGTGCTTGTGTAAATAAAGAATGGTTTTAGTGATGTCTAAATGTTTTTTTTGTGTTTTTTTTTTTACATAAACACTTCTACATACAACAACACGTAACACGATCTCTTTACCAACTGCACATATAAACATGGCCGGAAATCCTTGACCTTTGGCTGGTGGTTTTAGGATTTAGAGAAAATGTTGAATTGATGGTTCACAGTATTGTGAATGACTCCACACAGTAAAGGTATAATACTGTAAGTTGTCATGACATGATCAGTGATTATCTTTTTCTATATTCTCTGTATGAAACATACAGAATTTTTGCTGAATGTCACAATCCTGGCTGGTTTAAGAAAATGCATTCCTTGTTAAAGTAACAATATGAAAACACAAAACCTTACAACTCCAAGGAGTACATATAGTTTTATCAAAAGGTACAGATAAGGTTTTAATGATGGTGCTGGTTGGGAAGGCCTATATCATGACTGCACAGTGGGATAGAGCTACATAACACAATTTGATCAGAGCTAGGAACCATACTATCCAGTGAAATTGGAGTATGCCTATTTAGGATGGACACTGAGCAAGGGCACAATCCCGAGTTTGTGTTTCAGCCTAACTTCAACCCCACAACTTGGTTTACTAGAAAGCTGAGGAATGGGGCTGGAGAAATGTAACCACACTCAAATTCAAAGACAGAGCGAGTGATGCAAGGACTGACAGTCCATGAGATCATGAAAGTTAAGCATATTTACATATTTTGAAGCTATACATTGACTCAAGTGACAACAAAAACATTTTAAAAAGACAATATCACCTTATATTCTCCTTGGGGTATTATAGGGAAATTTGGCAGTTGTAGCCCAAAACCATTAGGCTTATTTCTTGAAGAATAAATGGTTAGTTATATCATTATCGGAAATAACCCATAATTGTGTCTCAATGTAATAAATGAGTCATTACATTGGTATGAGTTCAAGACAAATTGTATGGTCATAAAGCATTACTGATAAATTTAGCATCAGTTGAAAGCTATTTCTGTTATCTGCCAACGGCGGTAATATTTATTCTGGGTTGTAGGATTATATGAGTGATGCGTGATATTGCCCATCCTAATGGAGGGGACTCTAGCTGAACCGTACCAGAAGCAGAGCACGAAGGTTCCGCCTACTCAGCTGGAACTAGCTCGAGCATTGGTCTGCATTGTTATATAGATAAGGATTCTGTGGGAGTGATTTGACTGTACTAAAACTCTGATTGGTTTGAGACTTTATCATTCAAGGTAGCAGTAGCAATTGAGGCGTTCAGAGATAAATCATTTGACACAATATAACAACTGTTTCTGTTGAGCTGTCATTAACATCGAATGATTAAGCCTGTTATTTCTCGGAAACTAATAGCAGGTGTCATCAACCACGCTCGAAGAGTCAACCATCAAGCCTTTTTTCTATTCGATTTGCTGCTAAACCGAAACGTCTGAGCAATTACTGTTTGATTCACATCTTGTAACACTATTTAATTGCACATAATGCAGGACACAGCATCACCAAGAAGCAGATTCATTACGCGTTTCACGGATTTCCAGGAAGACCGATAACGAAAGGTAACACTTGGATGAAGAAATGCATGTCATAGCCACACATTTTCTTGTAGGCTACTTCTATTAAGAACAATTCTTAATTTGGCAATGTACTATGTTTTGCTGTGTGTATGCCACAGTCGCTCTCTATAACTTGCTTTAGGCCTATAGCCCAATGGACATTATCGGTATCAATTCAACAGTCTTGACCCGCTATTAATATACATATTTATACATTGTGTGAAACAGTGTGATCATGTGGAAATAATGCAACCGTTCGCCGCTGCAGTTATTGCGACGTGTCATTATGATTATACTACGAATCTAGGGTAAATATGTTATAAAATGGGTATGGACGTTATCCAAATGTAAGGGTCCTTTTTCGTTTCAACGATGTAAATTGCAGTAGCCTAGTTACTGTTGTGCTGTTGAGCGCACGAGGGCGGGGACAACCCAAATAAATGTGGGGAGGGAAAAACGAAGACAACAAACCCTCCAAATGTAGGCCACCGTGCGTGACCCAATTCCTCGTAACACAGCGAGTGAATATGGAACACGGCGTTCCCCCGCCCCTCGTCACGGCTCGGCACAGTTCCAGGGCAGTGCTCTCTGTGTTTCACTGTGCCAGGATGGTAGGTTCAATGAAAACGACATTACAAGAAGTATCTTATCACTATATAACAATATATTATATTGGGATTCCTCCTATTGCTGTTATTTCACAGTCTCTACTGATGATGGCAACAAACACACTAAGTATTAAAAAGAAACAAAATAATATATTCACTATTGGATTGTGAATCAGAATACTGAATAGTAGTCAAGTTTATATTCTCCGTCCAACCGTTCATGTCTTCCCTTGAATCAAGACATACTTATTGAAGTGAGCAGGGTGAAGAGTTTTGTATAAAAGTATCAGGTTTTCTTGGCTCAAGCTGCTGTGTGACAGATATTTTGTTTTGGACCCCTGGCAGTGCGATCAGTCTGGCTCTGACCTACTTTCCTCCTAACTTCATACCTGCAACGCTATTAATATCCCTGACATAAGGTTGGAGGAGCAGCACACAGCATCTTCAACTGGACCTAGTTTAACCCTTATTATCAGCATCTGGTCAACCTATATATGTATTATACAGCTGCTTAAAACAATTTCTGAGGAGAGGAAACCCCTAAACTAATTATTGTGGTCAGGTCAGGACAGCCTACTTCAGGGGTCTTCAGCCCTGTTCCTGGAGACCTACCCTCCTGTAGGTTTTCACTCCAACTAACCTGGTTCAGCTCATCAACCAGCTACTTATTAGAATAAGGTGTGCTCGATTAGGGTTGGAGTGAAAACCTACAGGACGGTAGCTCTCCGGGAACAGGGTTGGCGAGCCCTGGCCTACTTAATACCTGCTATTTCTTAGCACAGGTTTCCCCAAACTCAGTCCTGGCCCCCTTTGATTCAAATAATCAAAGCTTGATGATGCGTTAGTTATTTTAATAAGCTGTGTAGCGCTAGGGCAAAAACCAAATAGTGCACCCAGGTAGGGCCCCAGGACCTGACCACAATAATTACTTTAGGGGTTTCCTCTCCTCAGAAATAGTTATAAGCAGCTGTATAATACATATATAGGTTGACCAGATGCTGATAATAAGGGTAAAACTAGGTCCAGTTGAAAATACTCCTCAGTTTCATCAGCTGTCCGGGCGGCTGGTCTCAGACGATCCCGCAGGTTAAGAAGCCGGATGTGGAGGTCCTGGGCTGGCGTGGTTACACATGATCTGCGGATGTGAGGCCGGTTGGATGTACTGCCAAATATTCTAAAACGACGTTGGAGGTGGCTTATGGTATAGAAAATAACATAAAATTCTCTGGCAACAGCTCTGGTGGACATTCCTGCAGTCAGCATGCCAATTGCATGCTCCCTCAAAACTTGAGACATCTGCGGCATTGTGTTTTGTGACAAAACTGCACATTGTAAAGTTACCTTTTATTGTCCCCAGCACAAGGTGCACCTGTGTAATGATCATTCTGTTTAATCAGCTTCTTGATATGTCACACCTGTCAGGTAGATGGATTATCTTGGCAAAGGAGAAATGCTAATTAACAGGGATGTAAACACATTTCTGCACAAAAGTTTAGAGAAATAAGCTTTTTGTGCTTATGGAACATTTCTGGGATCTTTTATTTCAGCTTATGAAACATGGGACCTTTCACTTTACACGTTGCGCTTATATTTTTGTTCAGTATACATAGATTTGATTGACACATCATGAGAAAAAAGCAGGAGGTACATTTAAGCAAAGTAGAGCAAAGCTTTATGAATAACCTCCATTATGCCTCTCCACAGTAATGTTACTGGATACAGTGCCTTGCAAAAGTATTCATCCCCCTTGGCGTTTTTCCTATTTTGTTGCATTACAACCTGTAATTTAAATGGATTTTTATTTGGATTTCATGTAATGGACATACATAAAATCGTCCAAATTGGTGAAGTGAAATTCAAAAAATAACTTGTTTCAAAAATTCAAAAAAATTAATAATGGAAAAGTGGTGCATGCATACAGTGAGGGAAAAAAGTATTTGATCCCCTGCTGATTTTGTACGTTTGCCCACTGACAAAGAAATGATCAGTCTATCATTTTAATGGTAGGTTTATTTGAACAGTGAGAGACAGAATAACAACAACAAAATCCAGAAAAACGCATGTCGAAAATGTTATAATTTGATTTGCATTTTAATGAGGGAAATAAGTATTTGACCCCCTCTCAATTAGAAAGATTTCTGGCTCCCAGGTGTCTTTTATACAGGTAACGAGCTGAGATTAGGAGCACACTCTTAAAGGGAGTGCTCCTAATCTCAGCTTGTTACCTGTATAAAAGACACCTGTCCACAGAAGCAATCAATCAATCAGATTCCAAACTCTACACCATGGCCAAGACCAAAGAGCTCTCCAAGGATGTCAGAGACAAGATTGTAGACCTACACAAGGCTGGAATGGGCTACAAGACCATCGCCAAGCAGCTTGGTGAGAAGGTGACAACAGTTGGTGCGATTATTCGTAAATGGAAGAAACAAAAAAATAACTGTCAATCTCCCTCGGCCTGGGGCTCCATGCAAGATCTCACCTCGTGGAGTTGCAATGATCATGAGAACGGTGAGGAATCAGCCCAGAACTACACGGGAGGATCTTGTCAATGATCTCAAGGCAGCTGGGACCATAGTCACCAAGAAAACAATTGGTAACACACTACGCCGTGAAGGACTGAAATCCTGCAGTGCCCGCAAGGTCCCCCTGCTCAAGAAAGCACATATACAGGGCCGTCTGAAGTTTGCCAATGAACATCTGAATGATTCAGAGGAGAACTGGGTGAAAGTGTTGTGGTCAGATGAGACCAAAATCGAGCTCTTTGGCATCAACTCAACTCGCCGTGTTTGGAGGAGGAGGAATGCTGCCTATGACCCCAAGAACACCATCCCCACCGTCAAACATGGAGGTGGAAACATTATGCTTTGGGGGTGTTTTTCTGCTAAGGGAACAGGACAACTTCACTGCATCAAAGGGACGATGGACGGGGCCATGTACTGTCAAATCTTGGGTGAGAACCTCCTTCCCTCAGCCAGGGCATTGAAAATGGGTCGTGGATGGGTATTCCAGCATGACAATGACCCAAAACACACGGCCAAGGCAACAAAGGAGTGGCTCAAGAAGAAGCACATTAAGGTCCTGGAATGGCCTAGCCAGTCTCCAGACTTTAATCCCATAGAAAATCTGTGGAGGGATCTGAAGGTTCGAGTTGCCAAACGTCAGCCTCGAAACCTTAATGACTTGGAGAAGATCTGCCAAGAGGAGTGGAACATAATCCCTCCTGAGATGTGTGCAAACCTGGTGGCCAACTACAAGAAACGTCTGACCTCTGTGATTGCCAACAAGGGTTTTGCCACCAAGTACTAAGTCATGTTTTGCAGAGGGGTCAAATACTTATTTCCCTCATTAAAATGCAAATCAATTTATAACATTTTTGACATGCGTTTTTCTGATTTTGTTGTTGTTATTCTGTCTCTCACTGTTCAAATAAACCTACCATTAAAATTATAGACTGATCATGTCTTTGTCAGTGGGCAAACGTACAAAATCAGCAGGGGATCAAATACTTTTTTCCCTCACTGAATGTATTCACCCCCTTTGCTATGAAGCCCCTAAATAAGATCTGGTGCAACCAATTACCTTCAGAAGTCACATAATTAGTTAAATAAAGTCCACCTGTGTGCAATCTAAGTGTCATATGATCTGTCACATGATCTCAGTATATATACACCTGTTTTGAAAGGCCCCAGAGTCTGCAACACCACTAAGCAAGGGGCACCACCAAGCAAGCAGCACCATGAAGACCAAGGAGCTCTCCAAACAGGTCAGGGACAAAGTTGTGGAGTACAGATCAGGGTTGAGTTATAAAAAAAATATCTGAAACTTTGAACATCCCACGGAGCACCATTAAATCCATTATAAAAAAATGGAAAGAATATGGCACCACAACAAACCTGCCAAGGAAGGGCCGCCCACCAAAACTCACGGACCAGGCAAGGGGGGCATTAATCAGAGAGGCAACAAAGAGACCAAAGATAACCCTGAAGGAGCTGCAAAGCTCCACAGCGGAGATTGGAGTATCTGTCCATAGGACCACTTTAAGCCGTACACTCCACAGAGCTGGGCTTTACGGAAGAGTGGCCAGAAAAAAGCCATTGCTTAAAGAAAAAAATAAGCAAACACGTTTGGTGTTTGCCAAAAGGCATGTGGGAGACTCCCCAAACATATGGAAGAAGGTACTCTGGTCAGATGAGACAAAAATTGAGCTTTTTGACCATCAAGGAAAACGCAAACCCAACACCTCTCATCACCCCGAGAACACCATCCCCACAGTGAAGCATGGTGGTGGCAGCATCATGCTGTGGGGATGTTTTTCATCGGCAGGGACTGGGAAACTGGTCAGGATTGAAGGAATGATGGATGGCGCTAAATACATGGAATTCTTGAGGGAAACCTGTTTCAGTCATCCAGAGATTTGAGACTGGGACGGGGGTTCACCTTCCAGCAGGACAATGACCCTAAGCATACTGCTAAAGCAACACTTGAGTTGTTTAAGGAGAAACATTTAAATGTCTTGGAATGGCCTAGTCAAAGCCCAGACCTCAATTCAATTGAGAATCTGTGGTATGACTTAAAGATTGCTGTACACCAGCGGAACCCATCCAACTTGAAGGAGCTGGAGCAGTTTTGCCTTGAAGAATGGGCAAAAATCCCAGTGGCTAGATGTGCCAAGCTTATAGAGACATACCCCAAGAGACTTGCAGCTGTAATTGCTGCAAAAGGTGGCTCTACAAAGTATTGGCTTTGGGGGGGTGAATAGTAATGCACGCTCAAGTTTTCTGTTTTTTTGTCTTCTTTCTTGTTTATTTCACAATAAAAATATTTTGCGTCTTCAAAGTGGTAGGCATGTTGTGTAAATCAAATGATACAACCGCCCCCAAAATCCATTTTAATTCCAGGTTGTAAGGCAACAATATAGGAAAAATGCCAAGGGGGGTGAATACTTTCGCAAGCCACTGTATATTTGGAAATGCTTTACGATATTTCAAGCCTGATTTTACCAATGTAGGTTATCTTTAATTGTGTTTGATGTGTTTTCAGAGGCCAACCATGGAGGATAGGAGAATTCTCCCTACAGGGGGAGCAGGTGATCCAAAAGCAAAGCTCATACCCTTAGTGGTCAAAACTGAGCCGGACACAAAGACCCGTAGGGTGAGAGAGGAGGCACAGCCTACCATACCCATCAGGGTTAAAAAAGAGGACATCTCTGACGTGCCCCTCAAAGTGCCCAGATTCCAGTACGTGGACTTCCCTTCGCTGCACCAGTGCATCCAGCAGCTCACCGTGCCACCCCTGGACAGCTGGCTGGAGGGTTGCCACCTGGCCCTGGGAAGACCCTCTGGAGGACATACCCCTGTCACTTCCAAGGAGAGGGTTCCCAAGTTTAAGTATGTGGATTATCCCTCTCTGCACCACTGCATCCAGCAGTTGTCTGTGCCACCTCTGGAGAGCTGGAGCTCGGGGTTGGCCAGGCCAGGGAGTGGGGCGACAGGGGGACCTGGATCCACAACCTCTCAGCCCATATCTGTGAGGGCGAATCAGACAGGACAGGGAGATGTTTCAGTATCGGCTCAACATCAGGACAAGTACACTGCTTTCCCCTTCCCTGGTCCTGACCCCAGCTCCATCCAGTTTGTGAACTCCTCAAACCAGGCATCCCATAAGCATCAACTGCCTCAGATGCGCTTGAGCAGTCCGCCCCGAGCCAGGCCCGCAGTAAGCTCACAGGGGGAAGAGGCTCGTCATAAGGTGGTGTGTTCAGATCAGCTGTCTCAAAAGTCCTCTAATCCTAAATCTTGGGTTGCTGGAATGAAGCGTGCCAGAGGAGCGGGGCCACTCCATCAGAATAATAGGAAGTCAGCTGGTGATGATGATTGGCATGCAAACCTAAAGAAATCTCCAGAAAGTCATCAAGAGGCCAAAGTGGAGCTCAGTGACTCTCCTGACCTAGGTCAAGGGTTTTGGAGAACCATCCCAGAGTCTGTCTGCCCCTTTTGCCAAAATATGTTTTCAAATCCAGAGGAATTGCGGATCCATCAGAAGAGTCACAGAGAAAAGGTCAGTCTGTAGTACCTCGAAAATGTTCTGAATATGTGACAAATACTTATTTAATTGATCAAATTGTGTATCAAATAATGATGAATCTTGTCTCATGATGTTTGTCATATAATTTCAGAAGCCACATTGATGTCTTGACATGGAAACGTACAGCTGACAACAAGGAACATCTTCACAACTGTGCATCTACTTCAGTACTTACTACACAGGCGTGGGCTGGGGCAGTCATCTCCACAAATTATTGGTCACCAGAAAGGGGTCCACTGAGGTGGTTTTGATTGTTATGTGTTTATCTTGATGACATACTGTAAGTGAGGGACTACAAACAAACTCATTTAGCTAAGAGCTTAATTCATAATTCAGTTTAGGTATGAAATGTGAAATGAAACGTAATAGACTGACCTGCAGTGGCTCTTGATGGTCTTACACTCCTCATTTACTTATGGTTTAATTTGCCAGGAGGTGGCACACATTAGATGAGATATAACAGGAAAATCAACCATTTGATGTTTCAATTCAAATGTCAGGAATTAGGTTGAAATGCAGTGCATTCATTTTTGTGCTGCTGTAGTTGAGAATTTAGTTTTAATTTATTTTCCTTAAAAGGGATGCCAATGTTTTCCTGTTTACAAGCTCTTGTTGGTGAAATTTCGCTTTATGGCAAAAACATTAGTAAATTGGGGTATCAGCACCTTGTTCACTGGAGATGGCTGCCTGTTCAGTATTTTTAACATAATTATCCAGCTTTGGGTGGCTATAAAACCATTAGCTTTTGCTGCGAAACAACACAGGCTTCTTTATAATTTCTTATCTAATGTTTCTTTTTTTACAATGGTAATTATGTGTTATTGCTTGTAATGTCAAGAAATAACTTTAAACTTTTCTTAAACTTTATTTTCAATTGTCTGTGTGCATTAAAGCTTTTATAGTGAAGATTATTACTCTACTTTCAAGCAAATGCTATACGCATACAAGTGTCACATTATTTTAAGTACTTACTATGGTAGCCTACACTACAGTGTCCTCTAAAAAATGGCAAGAAAACAACCATGATTATTCAGAGCTCAACCTTTCCATCAACAACATAATTACACAACTATTTGTAATGATGTATGGCTATCCCAGCTAACAAAATTACGTTCCAGGACGTGACCACAAAGTTATTTTAGTCCCTACATAAGTCATGATAACGTTATTGTGAAACTTACAGACGATGTTCCAAAATGTATTTCTATCATTCCTAACGTCATATGAAGACAAACCATAGCTCAAAATGTAACGTTATGAAATGTTCCTAGGATATCTCCAAAATAACATGATATTCAGAACCTTTCATGGACTACCAAGGAACATTTTTTATGTTCCCATGATGTCTGTATAGTGACCTTGTATTTAGAACCTCTATAATACTTATTAGAAACGTTATGAATGTGCCTATGTCCCAAACGGGCTATGACATTCAGTACCTCTGGAAGACTTAAGGGGAATGTTACAAATGTCTCAGTTACGTTCCTTGTTAGCTGGGATGCCATTTAGAACTAGGCCTAAAACAGTAAAAGTTGTAAAGTAAAACAGTCCAGACCACAACTACATGCTTTTTATGTAAACAATGTGGCATCACTGGCACGGGACTTACCATTCAAAGAATAGGAATATTCCACTGGGGACACAATGTTTCACTTACACAATACAACTGTAATAGCAGAGAGCTATGCAGCAAAAGTTTGACTGATGAGGACTATGCGGAGAAGACCTAAAGTTAAAAGTCTGTCTACCGAAAGCCCTCAAAATAATAGATTTTAAGGTAAGGGTTAGGGTAGGGGTTAAGGTTAGGGACGTCCCAAGGATCCCGGATAGGCATCTGGTAACCCAGAAGTACATTTGGTCAGCTGCGTGATTAACTTCTGTCTGTGCTTCTGTCTTCATACTGTACGTACAGAGGAAGAGGCGAAGCGAGAAGATTTACCCTACTCAAAATCCAGTAAAAGGCCAGGCTGCCTTCTGTTTTGCAGATTGTTTGGCAGGTGCCGCGGCAGCTGGCAGTCACCCACTAGCGCCCAACGGCATGTGCCGGTACTACACTTGGTTTGTCACTAAATAGCGCCCCACTGGATGTGCTGGTGTCAGTGTCAGATCTGCCTGCCTACCGAATCTTACACACGGTCTGGCCGATTTGCGTCACAAACAAACATTTTGGAAGCTGATTCGCTGATTCTCTTCCATAACTCCACCCCATAGTTACTGTTGCTACGACCAGCCAAGGTGTGCGAGCAGTTCGCGGGAAAAGGGGAGACCGATTGGGCAAAGTGCTGCAAGCTAACGTTAGCTAACAAGCTAGCAGCTAATTCCATGGCTAAATATTGTATGTACAGTTAAAGTCGGAAGTTTACAAACACTTAGGTTGGAGTCATTAAAACTCGTTTTTCAACCACTCCACAAATGTCTTGTTAACAAACTAGTTTTGGGAAGTCGGTTAGGACATCTACTTTGTGCAATTGTTTACAGACAGATTATTTAACTTATAATTCACTATATCACAATTCCAGTGGGTCAGAAGTTTACATACAATAAGTTGACTGTTCCTTTAAACAGCTTGGAAAATTCCAGAAAATGATGTCATGGCTTTAGAAACTTCTGATAGGCTAATTGACATCATTTGAGTCGATTGGAGGTGTACCTGTGGATGTATTTCAAGGCCTACCTTCAAACTCAGTGCCTCTTTGCTTGACATCATGGGAAAATCTAAAGAAATCAGCCAAGACCTCCGAAAAATGTTTGTAGACCTCCACAAGTCTGGTTCATGAAGCACGGGGGTGGCAGCATCATGCTGTGGGGGTGCTTTGCTGCAGGAGGGACTGGTGCACTTCACAAAATAGATGGCATCATGAGGAAGGAAAATTATGTGGATATATTGAAGCAACATCTCAAGACATCAGTCAGGAAGTTAAAGCTTGGTCGCAAATGGGTCTTCCAAAATGACAATGACCCCAAGCATACTTCCAAAGTTGTGGCAAAATGGATTAAGGACAACAAAGTCAAGGTATTGGAATGGCCATCACGAAGCCCTGACCTCAAGCCTATAGAAAATTTGTGGGCAGAACTGAAAAAGCGTGTGCGAGCAAGGAGGCCTACAAACCTGACTCATGGGCCAAAATTCACCCAACTTATTGTGGGAAGCTTGCGGAAGGCTACCCGAAATGTTTGACCCAAGTTAAACAATGTAAAGGCAATGCTACCAAATACTAATTGAGTGTATGTAAACTTCTGACCCACTGGGAATGTGATGAAAGAAATAAAAGCTTAAATAAATCATTCTCTCTACTATTATTCTGACATTTCACATTCTTAAAATAAAGTGGTAATCCTAACTGACCTAAGACAGGGAATTTGTACTAGGATTAAATGTCAAGAATTGTGAAAAACTGAGTTTAAATGTATTTGGCTATGGTGTATGTAAACTTCCAACTTCAACTGTAGCTAGCTAACTAGTTAGCAACTCGTTTGTTACTGTATAAAATAGTAGATGGACGTGTTGATTGTATCCTCTGAACTAATAGCTCCAGCACCTTGCTCTGTGAGCTTCCAGGCTAATAAGCTAGCTAGCAAGTTGTGTGGTCATTTAGCTAGATAGCTGCTGTGCAACACAACCAAAGCCATTTACAACCTCTAAACACATCAATGGCTATACATATGGAAAGTGTCAAGTTGTGTGTATTTGTCAACATTTTAAGGGATAAGTAGATAGACATAACCTACTGCAAACATTCTGGTTGAACACATTTTGGCACACAGTGACTGTGGGAGAAGGACCCCTTAGGCCGCCTTTCATTACAGTAGGCTATTTTAGTTTTCCCTTGGTGAGAGAGTCTTTACAAATACTGCTGGTTGTCATCTCTGCCAGTGTGCATCATCAGGGTATCAGGAGATAGGAAGCCCACCTGCCTGCTCTGCCCATCCAGCACTGTGACACCATATTTTGTGAAACAGTAAAACTTGCTTGACTCAATACTGTCAAAGCCGCTAGCCATCGGTATAGCTATACTGCATATTGACTTTTTCCTTGCCAATATCAACTGGAAATTGAGAGGCATAATAGCCGATAAGTGTTTAGTTAGTTCATTTGTCATGCCCATACCATAGCAATTAGTCTGCACAATTAACAAATCATTTTATTAGTGACCTGTGATAGAGACATTGTCCTACAGGTAACAATTATTCTTGTCCTTAGAATCACTGGTGTTCAAGAAACATGTTACGATTTCCACAACTAGGTTTCCTTGATAATGGTTTCCAACATATGATTGGCAGAACTTCACTTTAGAGTAAGAACATTTTTGTATTGTAATTCTATTTGCAAAATACCTTATTGAACATGTGACTAGTTTCTGGTAACAAAGTGGCACTGTAAATTTGACTGAACAGTTTAGCAACAATGGATAATTCCGCCCTCTTCTTCCTCATCAGTACAGTTAGAAACATTAGCAGTAGAATTGGGGACAAAGTGATATTGCTCATCGGTTTCTCTCAGCTTTGGAGACAGGTCATCAGCCTGAACCACCTGTGAAAAAGGAGCACAAATTATGTAATGGTTAGCATGTGTGTAAACCTAAAACAGACTATAAATATACAACTCATGGCAATTGCACTAGTCACAATTCAAATACCCCACTTTTTTATTTATTGTTCACGATAACTGTATGCTCCAACCATTAATTCACAAAATGTACCCCAAGTATGGTCTTATTGAGTAGTTATAGCAGGTAGGGATGACAATTAACACACTGTTGCCAATGACGACCAAGAATGAGGAATACTGAACTAGACTAAACACTATTGTCACAGCTATTCCAGAAGAGGTCAGTCTAATGTACTAAGGTGGTCAAGGGCAAATGAAGTGTGAATGAGACTGTCTGCATCCCGATTCACCACCCTTCTCCCCCACCATAGATTTATAAACATTGAATTGGTGTGGTCATTGGCTATAGAGGGAGTTTCCATCGTTGTAATATCCATGACACTGCACACTTTGGGAGAAGGGTGGGCAATCAGGACACAAGCCTACCGTTTACCCCTATGTTGAAGTAAGCACTCATACAATCACCCTCAAGGGCTTAAAATGAATAGACTGGTGGTGTAAGGAATATGGTGGAACTGCCATTGGTCAGCGGAATAACTACATAGTTTCCTGAGGGTTGGAACACAAAATAGATTAGTTGAAATGCTCACTGTCAGGTCTGGAGCAAATTAACTTGTATAGAAAAGGCTTTTCTTCCAAAGATAACTTTTGAGACTGAATCAGGCTATTTCCAGTCCATATCATAGGTCATCCCCTATCAGTCTCTGGTACTGTCCCCACTGTTAACAATTGACAATATTTACTGGTATGTATACGAGGCAAAAGTAAAGATGTCGTCCCCCACGAATGATGCAGTCCCCTTGGGCCAATTGAGATATCATGTGTGACTAACACATTTCAGTTAATTACTATAGCTCCCACCTTGGGCCAATCAGTAACATTTTCTAAATTCCGGATCTCTATGGCAAGACGCATCATTCACCCAAGTGCGGGCCAGTGCTGTCTGAGATATCGTGTGTGACAAATATATATGAATTGACAGAGACAGATCCACAGTCCTCTCTCCCATTTCATTGCGGGGGACAATAAAACCTTGACTTGCAACAAGCAAAATGTCACATACAAGAAGTCAGTGGGGGAGGATGGGACTACAATATGAATAGAATTCAATTTCATGCCGTAGAGTAGCCCTTATGTTCTTATGTTGGCATAGAGGTGGTTGAGAGAGCACACAAGGGCTATGT